GGGGATTTTGAGGTTAAGTTTTCACTAGCACGGGGTTCACTTTCAGAGTTTCTTGAGTAAGGGGGTTTAAGTTGGACATGGGGGGCTCTTGAAGATGATGCTGCACTCGCGTAATCCATGTTTGCGAAAGGATGCTGGTTTCGTTTTTAAAGTTGACTTGTTGAAAAAGGCGGGAAAAGTCACGAGTCCGGCTAGGACTGATTTCACTTTTCCGCCCGATCCGTGGGGGGGAATCGTGGAAATTTCTTCACATTATGATCACTGTCACTGACTGATTTTGTTCTCTAAGGGGTTTTGGACTTCTTTCACCAGGAAACACTAGTAAAAGGGCTAAATCTGGGAGCCTCACTGGAGCACTCTGTCTACCTCAAGAGAGAGAGAGAGAGAGAGAGAGAGAGAGAGAGAGAGAGAGAGAGAGAGAGAGAGAGAGAGAGGGAGAGAGGGGGAGAGGGACATAACGACATCCTGACCAGCGACTTGGCTAGCATGCAGGCGGGGCCGACCGCGGCCACTCTGTAAGGTTCGCGAGGCACAGGGCCCTGAGGCACTGACCTGAGGGTCCTGTGGCGTGCAGCGTGCAGTGCAGCCCTGTGCAGTGCAGCGGCACTGTATTGGAAGCGGGAAACGAACGGAACGCCATTCGCGCTCCGTTGGGCCGAACCATTAGGGCGGCCAGCAAGCACGGGAAGGGCGGGCGAGCAGACAGACAGACAGACAGGCAGACAGGCAGACAGGCAGACAGGCAGACAGACAGACAGACAGACAGACAGACAGGCAGACAGAAAGGCAGACAGGCACACAGAAAGGCAGACAGACAGACAGACAGACAGAAAGACAGACAGACAGACAGACAGACGGACAGACAGACAGACGGACAGACAGACAGAAAGACAGACAGACAGAAAGGCAGACAAACAAACGGACAGACAGACAGGCAGACAGGCAGGCAGAAAGACAGACAGACAGAAAGGCAGACAAACAGACGGACAGACAGACAGACAGACAGACAGACCAGCGTCCACACACTCAAGACCCACTCACATATTTTTCACACCCGGCAAATCAAGGGGGGCGTGTGGCTGCCCTGCTAATTTACACCTTCATTACCGACCAGGCCGTGTGCAGATACGCCGGCCTGCCCGGGGGCCTGAAAGGGTCCTGGAAGGGGTCCTGGACGGCCTGCCGGACGGGTCCTGGACGACGCGGCGCGGCGCGCACCGGATCCGGAAGCGCTACCGGATGGCGCGGCCGGGCTGCGCCGGGGCCGCCCGCACCTGCACGATAGGTAGCCGGCCGTTTATTGCGGGCATTAATGTGGACATTTTTAATCCTCCTCATCGGCGTGCACGACGAGCCGTGGCCGACGGCACGCTCACGGCCGTAACCACGACGACGCCGTCCTGGCGGACAGACAGGCACGCAGACAGACAGACACCTCAGCACGGCGGCGATACTCCGCGCACCATCACCGCGCCGAGGGGAGGAACCGCGCGGAGGTCGAGCACGCCGAAGAGACAGAAGACAGAGGGAGACACACGACGTCCTCCTGGCCCGCGAGCAGGCGGGGCCAAACTCGACCACTCTGCAAGGTTCGCGGGGCAAGGAAGGGCCCTGTGGCGTGCACGGTACAGCTCCGCGAGGCCCCGCGCAGTGCAACGGCAGCATTGAAACACGAACGGAACGCCGTCCTCGCCAGAGGACGCCGTTGGCGAATCCAAGCGAGACATTGGCCAGTCTGGTCGGAGAGGCCGCCAACGCGGAGGATAGGCGACGTCGGCGACAGCAGGTGGCGGCTCCAGCGTCGGAATCCTCTGCCAGTGTAGTGTCCCGTCGTCGACGACTCGTGCTCCCCGAGGCCGTCCGAACCACCAGGCCGACGGCGAAGCCAGGACAATCCGTCATCCATCAAACCAAGAGGCGGGCGCGGCGGCCAAGTGGCTGACGCTCACGACCGAGTGGGCCGCGCACCGCCGCGGCACCGCCAGGCCAGACCGCCACCGCGGCCTCGACGGCCACCTCGGCCCGGTTCTCCGCGCCGTGGGCACCTTGGTGGGCACCATGGTGGGCACCACGGGCAGACCCGTGATTCAATTAGCGGGGCGACACCGCGGCCGGCCGAAGAGTCCTCCTTTCTTCGCTCTGTCTCTCTCGCACCCCGACGGCCCGGCCCGTGAGTGCGACAGAATCAGACAACCTGTCGGAATCGCGCTCGGCGGCAGCGGGCCTGCAACTTATCCCCGCTCCGCGTCGCTCTGCCGGCGACGGCCGTTTTCGGTGCGTTTCGTGGGCGATATCGACGCGTGCGCGCGCTGCGGCCTCGTCTCGTCGCCGTCGGAGGCGCACAGTGGGCCAGAAGACCGGTGAAGGCCGACAAAACTCGAGACGCGTTTTGAGCTGCAAAGTCGCTAAATGGGACTCGAACCGAACGTGTGACCCCACCAATGGATTGCTCTCCGAACGAGGAATCCATTGGTGGGGTCACACGTTCGGTTCAAGTCCTGTTTAGCGACTCTAGAGCTCAAAACGCGTCTAGAGTTTCGGCCGCCTCCACCGGTCTTCTGGCCCACTGAGGGGCGTGGCCCTCGGCGTGGCCGCTGCCGCCGCCGTCTGTCCTCGGTCTCGATGCAACCCACCCCGGGCACCCTGGGCGAGGGCAAGCTCCTTGTGCTCCAGCAGGCACGCCTGGCAAGGCGGGGCGGGGCGGGGCCGGGCGGGGCGGGGCGACCGGTGGCGAATAAATCACGAAAACGCAACCAGTATCGGTCGCACCGCCGGACCTTCCGTCGCGGAGCATCGCGGAGTCACACATATCCCGGAAACAAACACCACGCCGTGAATGCGGGGCGGGGCGGGGCGGGGTGGGGCAAGGCAAGGCGGGGCGGACAATGCCGCGGATCGAATTGCGATCCAGACCGGCCGCCTCGGCACAACAGTGATAACAGCCCTTCATTACCGCATATGCGATGCGCTGTGTGCGCTGCGGCCAACTCTTTCCTTGGAATGGACTTTCAAATGGCCGGCCGCGCATTCTCCACGGCGGCGAGGCGAGGACCGCCGCGTGATTCATGACGCGGACCCTCGCGGTGCTGCCGTCTCTCTCGCACCCGCTGACCCTTCGGACCGCGTGGTGCTGCCGTCTCTCTCGCACCCGCTGACCCTTCGGACCGCGAGGTGCTGCCGTCTCTCGCACCCGCTGACCCTTCGGACCGCGGGGTGCTGCCGTCTCTCTCGCACCCGCTGACCCTTCGGACCGCGAGGTGCTGCCGTCTCTCTCGCACCCGCTCACCCTCCGCACCGCGAGGTGCTGCCGTCTCTCTCGCACCCACTGTAAGTGCCGGTGGACCCCACGCGGTGAGGGCGTCTCTCTCGCACCCGCTGACCACACAATGCGCGCCGACGCCGCGCCGCCCCGACGTCCACTCGCGGCGATATTTACGAGCGGGGAAGGGAACCGAGTCCCTCCGTCATCATAAGGGCCGCTAACTAGGCCCCGCATCGCCCCGCATCGCCACACCGCGCCGTGGTCCGTGGTCCACTACACTGCCACACCGAGGTCCACTACACTGCCACACCGAGGTCCACTACACTGCCACACCGAGGTCCACTACACTGCCACACCGAGGTCCACTACACTGCCACACCGAGGTCCACTACACTGCCACACCGAGGTCCACTACACTGCCCACCGAGTCCACTAACTGCCACACCGAGTCCACTACACTGCCACACCGGGGTCCACTACACTGCCACACCGAGGTCCACTACACTGCCACACCGAGGTCCACTACACTGCCACACCGGGGTCCACTACACTGCCACACCGAGGTCTACTACACTGCCACACCGAGGTCCACACCGGCCGGCCGGCCACGGTGCGCGCGTGGATGCTGCGGGTCTGGGGCGTTCCGCGGGGGTGCGAGAGAGACGGAGCGACGAAGCACCGTTTCGGAATCCAGCCCACTGAGAGGCCAGTGGCCCGGCCGCGGCCAGCCGAGCTTGACCAACGCAATCTAGCGGCCGGCAACGCGGAAAAAGGAACACACTCACACACTCGCGCACAACGGCGCACCGGGTGGCCGGCGGGGCGGCGGGCCGGCCGGCTGGATGCTGCTGGATTCACACCCTTCTCCGATTACTGCAATCCGAGGCTCCCGCGCCCGCGGGAGGATTCCGCCACTTTCGCGGACAAAACCGACTAAACGGCGGAGAAAGCGCGTAGAACGACGCGGAATGTCGCAAACCAGGACTGCAAAATGAGACCTTTTTCCGCAACGAGTTACGCAGTGCATCGGTCTGTTTCTCTCGCACTCACTCAATTTCGCGGGGAGTTCCAAAGGGGTGCGAGAGAGAGAGAGGGGGGGGGAGGGGAAGAGACTGCGAGGGATCGCTGTGTTGCCGGGGGCCCGGCTCGGTGGGCGGCACACAGGCCCCACTGTCGTCGTCTGATTCCGCAGGATCGCTCTGTCCCTCTCGCACCCCTTCGGAGCGCCCCACGAGTGAGACAGAGACAGAGCGACGAAGCGACCCTTCGACATGAGGCGGCTGTCGCGATGCAGCGCACGTCTGACGCGGAGGAAGTGACGTCACTGCAGGACCGCGGCCCCACATCCTGGACGTGAATACGCATGGAGGACGGGCGGCGTGGCCGCGCGTGGCATTCCCCCCACGTCGCCGTCCTGGAGCTCCTGGAAGTCCTGGAGCTCCTGGAAGTCCTGGAGCTCCTGGAAGTCCTGGAGCTCATGGAAGTCCTGGAGCTCCTGGAAGTCCTAGAGCTCCTGGAAGTCCTAGAGCTCCTGGAAGTCCTAGAGCTCCTGGAAGTCCTGGAGCTCCTGAAAGGCTTCAGCCCCTGGAAGTCCTACAGCCCCAGGAAGTCCTGAAGGTCCTGGAGCTCCTGGAAGGAAGCCCTTGAGCCCCAGGGAGCCTTGGAGTTCCTGGAAGTCCTGAATCTCCCGGAAGTCCTTGAGCTCCCGGAAGTCCTGGAACCATCGTTGGTTGCTTACCAGACTTCCTCTTCTCCTGCACCAGCGTCTTGACCTTCTTGGAGCGCAGCGAGCGGCGGCGCAGCGAGCGCAGGAAGTTCTCCGGCATGCGCGAGAAGGGCGCGAAGGGCGCGGGGCTGGCCGGCAGTGGCGTGGCCAGTGGCGCGGCCATCGGCGTGGCGGCGCCGGCGGGGGCGGTCATCTGCGGCGTGGCGGGCGCGGTGGCGCCCACGGCGGGGACGGCGTCGCCGGGCGCGGCCGAGGCCGGCGGCACGCGGCGCTCCGCCACCAGCCACTTGGCGTACACGAACAGGCTGAGGCCATGCGCCGACTTGGCCTTCTTGTCGCGGACGGCGCGGTGGTCGCCGGGCCGCTCCCTCACCACCACGTCCGTGCTGATGGCGGGGGCCGTGGCCGGGGCCAGGTCCGCGTGCCCGAGGCCGCCGTGGCCGCCGTGGCCGAGGCCGGGCGTGCGGGGCAGGATGCGCGCAATCTTGATGCCGAGGGGCCGGGCCGCGTGGGCCCTGCCAGTCCCTGCCTGTCCCTGCACTGCGAGACCGCGAGTCCGCCGAGGAAGTCCGTCCTCGAGCTGCGAGCCGCGTCCTATCCGCAGCAACAGTCCATCGCTCTGGGGGAGACCAAATGGGCGGTTAGGGGGCGAACGTCGGCCAGGCTCGCCAGCGAGACGCGGGCAGACCTCCGCCCCCTCGGGCAGTCTTGGACATAATCTGGCACAGTCTGACCCAGTCTGACACTGTCTGACCCAGTCACACAGTCTGACACAGTCTGACCCAGTCACACAGTCTGAAACAGTCTGAACCAGTCTGAACCAGTCCGACCCAGTCTGACCCAGTCCGCCCAGTCTGACTTAGTCTGACCCGGTCTGACACAGTCTGAGACAGTCTGAGACGGTCTGACACAGTCTGAGACGGTCTGAGACAGTCTGACACAGTCTGAGACAGTCTGACACAGTCTGAGACAGTCTGACACAGTCTGAGACAGTCTGACACAGTCCAACACAGTCTGACACAGTCCAACACAGTCTGACACAGTCCAACACAGTCTGACACAGTCCAACACAGTCTGACAGTGTCCAAACTGTGTCAGACAGAGTCTGAAAGTGTCTGACGGAGTCGGACAGTCCTGCCCGCCGCGCATTCAGTTTCCTGGCGGCGTCTCGTCCGGGAATGCAAGCACACGGCGAAGTCTTCTCGATGTTGTTGTTGTTCTTGATATTCGTGTTGCTGCTCTTGTTGTTGTCGTTACGAAATACCGGTGCGAGGCGCTTCCCCAAAAAGCCGCTAGCAATAACAAAGAGCGTCTCGTCCCCACGCCGTACGGCCGTACGAACGCACGCCGGTCCCAAAGTAGCCGCGTCCGCCGCGTCGCCGCGCCACTGTGCAAACAACACTCAGAGGCCGAGACGAGCCGAGGCCCCTTGGCGTGGGCGGCGACGCACCGCGCCAAGCAGCGCGCGGGGGCACGAAATTTCACCTCGAATTTCCGAAATTATTTGGAGTTTTCTGCGGATTTCCGCCAATAAGAGGCGTCACGTCTTCCATCATCGGCCGGCGGTGCGGTCCAGCGTCCAGGCCTCCGTGAAGGCTTCGCGAAAAATTGACTCAGCTGAGTCCGAGAGTCGTTTTCGTAACGCTGTCTCTCTCGCACCGACACGAAACGCCCCATGAGCGCGAGAGAGACAGAGCGACGGAAACGACTCTCGGAATCAGTCTGGAGCGCGATGCGGGGGAGGGGGTAGAGCGGGGGCGTTCATGGACGTGACCTGCCAAAGAGGCATGCCGCAGAGCCCGCGCGGAAATTCAATTCACGGCAGCGGAGGAGAAAAATATAAAAATAAAAGACAAAAACAATAAACGCGAGCAAACTCGAACACGGGGCGAGGTCGAGGCTTTTGGCGAGCGGCTTTGGACTGCTATCGGTTATTCCGCTCAGGACTTTATCTCAAGGGCCCTGCAGACTGATTCCGAGAGTCGTTTTCGTCGCTCTGTCTCTCTCGCACTCATGGGGCGTCACGTACAGGTGCGAGAGCGACAGCGCGACGAAAACGACTCTCGGAATCAGTGTGCTGGTGCGGCCCGCTGCGCCACGGATAAGTCGCGAGATTCGCCGTCCTTTTCAAGGCACTGCACTGTACTGCGACTGTCCGAGGGCCGGGCCCACCACCGCGTCAACGGACGATTGTTCGAGAACTTCGCAAACCCAGGCCAAACAATCAGACACGACAGAAATCAAATTTTCAAAACACTCCACGTTTTTGAAGTCGGCACTTTTGATCCATGAATGTCCGCAGCTCAGTTCAGAGCTAAAACTGCCATTTGGTTCTACGGGGCCTCCCCTCCCCCACAGGGGGCCCACACTGGCGCGTGGCCGGTGTCACCCCTCGCCATTTGGGCCCGTGCACTTAGGCCCTGGGGCGGTATCAGTCCGAGATAAATAATCCCCTGGCCGTGGCGGCTCGTTGGCACAGTCAGTCACTTTCATTTTCCCCTGCAATCCACTTCACCACCACACTGCCCGGCACTTTCGCACACACACACACACGCTTGCTTCCAGGACAGAGACGCCGCCGGGATAATCCAAAAGTAATCCAATAATGCGACGACGGGCGGGCCGAGGGTATCCAAGACGGCCGAAAATAAAGAAAACACTCACACCAGAAAAATCAATTTCTTTTCACGCGAGACTTTTTCGTAAACACGCGACGAGAACACGCGAGACGCGAAGCACGCGGCGAGCCGGCGGCGGCGGCGTCCGTCGGCAGTCGGTGCTCCACAGCGCAGCGCGGCGACGCAGCGACTGAGCGCGCGGCGCGGCGCGCGGCACCTCCATGCCGCGGAGCCGCGGGAGGGGGTGGGGGCGGCGCGCTGCGCTCACACCACCCCGCCACCGCAGCAGACGACACAACAGCTGACCCGCGCCGCCGTGCACCTCCGGCACCTTCTGCGTAGAACTGATTCCGAGAGTCGTTTCCATCGCTCTGCCTCTCTCGCTCTCGCGAACACACCGCCTAGGACCGCCGAGAGAGACAGAGACATGAAAACGACTCTCGGGTTCAGTCCGCGGCCGGCGCATGCATCTCAGTCGGGCACCACTCCACTTAAAGTGGCGACAAAAAAAAAGGTGGAAGGAAAACCGAACGCGTCATCGCCGTGGTGGCCGCAATCGGCATGCCCCCATTAGTGCACCTAGGACCGGGCCAGCCCGCGGGGATGCAGCAGGCTGATTCCGAGAGTCGTTTTCGTCGCTCTGCCTCTCTCGCACTCGCGGAGCGCCCCGCATAGGTGCGAGAGAGCAGAGCGACGAAAACGACTCTCGGAATCAGCCTGCCAGGACGACAAACCGGACCGCGACTCCCCGCCGGCAGGCTCCGCCACACACCAGCCCCAGTCCCAAAAAAGGGGTAATCACAAACGTATCCCTGAGTAATTGATGCATTAGCACCGGACGGGGAGGAGGGCGACGGCGACGCTGTTGTCTGAAAACTTCATTTTCGACCCATTTCTCGATGAGTCGGCGCTTTCGGTCACCAGGGCGGGAACTGGCGGGAGGGGTGACAGTTGAGAGGAGAGTAGGGGTGGTGGCGGGGCTGGGGGTCGGGGCAGGATGAGGTGCGGCGGGACCAACACCGCGACCATCGTGATCGTGACCGTCTCGTGAATCAGGCCATAGGAGGTCGTGGAACAGGCAACAGGAGGTATAGTGGACCAAGCCATAGGAGATCAAGGACCAGGTCATAGAAGGTCGTGGTCCAGGCAGTCCAGGCCATAGGGCTTCGGGGACCAGGTCATAGGAGATCGTGGACGTGGACTCAGCCATAGGAGGCCTAGCAGGCCATAGGAGGTCGTAAACCAGGCCATAGGAGGTCGTGGACCAGGCCACAGAAGTAATAGAAGTCGTGGACCAGGCCACAGAAGTCATAGAAGTCGTGGACCAGGCCACAGAAGTCATAGAAGTCGTGGACCAGGCCACAGAAGTCATAGAAGTCGTGGACCAGGCCACAGAAGTCATAGAAGTCGTGGACCAGGTCATAGAAGTCGTGGACCAGGCCACGAAGCTAGAAGCTCCCTGGCCAGGCCCGGGTTTCCAACGTGGACGGGGTTGAGCGTGGCGGCCCAGGTTTGAAGACGGGACCGGCCCCGGCGGACGGGGGCGAGGGTCACCTGGACCTGGGGCGACCCCGCCTGCCCGCCAGCCACCCCCGCGACCCCGGGCAACCCCAACCTCCTTTTGGCTCACCGTTACCCAACCGGGTTTCCTCCAGGTCGCCCGAAGTCCGGGGGAAGCCCACCGGGGCGGCCTCCGTCACACTCACCCCGGACCCCAGCAACCCAATCCTTTTGGACCGAATTCGTTCCGGGTCTTCACCCGGACGGAACCGGACCCCCGGGGCGGCCCCCTCCACTCACCTGGGGAACCATCCGAGCGATTTTTAGGGGGAAGTGGTTTCCCCCGGGTCTGTTTTCTCTGTCGCACTCACGGGGCTCTCCGTGAGTGCGAGAGCTACAAACAGATCTACTGACTTGCGCAGCAGATCCACGACGCCGAAGCACAAAGCAGGCGTCGGTCTAGGGAGCTCACTGATTCTAAAGTCAGAGACGCTTCGTCGTTACTCTGTCTCACTCGCACTGGAGTGGCGTCCCATGATTGCGAAAGGTGCGAGAGAGAAACGGGGCACCGCAGTTCGCGGAACAGGGCGGCCGCATCCGGCAAAACACAAAACACACCCCGAGCCTGTAGGTTGATATTCCAAAAGCCGTTTTCGTCGCTCTGTCTCTCTCGCACTCATGGAGCGTCGCGGATGGGTGCGAGACAGACAGAGCGACGAAAACGACGAACCAAGCCGAACTACGAAGGAAAGGAACGCTCCAATTTGCGGCAAAGCCCTCGGAAACAGCAAAACCAGCAAAAGGCGCCCAACTCATTGTGAGAGAAAAAGGAACGGGCGGCGGAAATGCACTTGCGGTGCTTGCAGGCGGCGGCTGGCTCCTTCCGAATAACAGTCGATTCGTCGCTCTGTCTCTCTCGCGCCCAAACGGTACGCCCCGCCGGTGCGAGAGAGACAGAGCGACGAAGACGCTGCGTTCGGAATCTGCGCGGGCAAGCGCCGCGGCGAGGC